TCATTCTTGTTCCACTTAGTCTATAATGGCAGGATTTTGCTCCAACTTTGAAATTAGCTGTGGGTTGAATGAAGAAAAGTTTACTAGGAGAAAAGTTTACTTAAGAGATTATAGGTATAGGTCCCAGAGAAGAGTCAGTTAACCAACTCAGTGATGATAGGACACAGATAAGTAGTCTAAACTGACTTGAACCCAAACAATAAAAGACATAGTTTTTTTCAGTATATTGATACTGAGACGTATACTTTTTTTTTGGTAATTAACTTGGTTTTTTTTATTGAATTGTAGTTGATATACAATATTATATTGGTTTCAAATGTACAATACAGTGATTCAGCAGTTGCACACCTTATTAAATCCTCACCCCAACTAGTGGAGTTAGTATCTGTCAACATAGAAAGATGATACAGAACCATTAAGTATATTCTCCATGCTGCACTTGCATTCCCATGACCAACTTACATTATGGTTGATATTTTGTGCCTCTTTATCCCCCTTCACCTGTTTTCACCCACCCATCCTGACCAGTCCCCCCATTGTAATCACCAGTCAATTCTCAGTGTCCATGAGTCTACTGTTGTTTTGTTCATTCTGTTTTGGTTTGGTTTTAGATTCCACATATAAATAAAATGATATGGTATTTGTCTTTCTCCACCCAACTTACTTCACTGAGCATAATACCCTCTAGATCATTCCATGTTGTTGCAAATGGCAGGATTTCTTTTCTTTTTATGGCTGAATAATATTTCATTGTGTATATAGACCATATCTTCTTTATCCATTCATCTAATTGATGGACACTTTGGTTGCTTCCATATCTTGGCTATTGTAAATAATGCAGCAGTAAACATAAGGGTGCATATATCTTTTTGGATCAGGGATTTTGTTTTCTTCAGGTAAATTCCTGGAATTGCTGGGTTGAATTCAATTTTTAGTTTTTTGAGGAACCTCCATACTGCTTTCCACAGTGGCTGCGCCAATTGACATTCCCATGAAGAGTGAAGGAAGGTTCCCTTTTCTCCACATCCTCACCAACACTTGTTATTTCTTGTCTTTTAGATAGTGGCCATTCTAACTGGTTTGAATTGATATCTCATTGTTGTTTTGATTTGCATTTCCCTGATGAATAGTGATGTGGAGCATCTTTTATGTGCCTGTTGGCCATCTGTATTTCTTCTTTGGAGAAATGTCTGCTCAGTTCCTCTGCCTATTTTTTAATTGTGTTGTCTTTTTGGTGTTAAGGCATATGAGTTCTTTATATATTTTGGATAAATTATTTACAAATATATTCTCCCATACTGTAGATTACCTTTTTGTTATGCTGATGGTGTCCTTTGCTGTACAGAAGCTTTTTAGTTTGATGGAGTTCCACTTGTTCATTTTGTATATTGTCTCCCTTGCCCAAGGCAATGTGTCCAGAAAAAAATTGCTTATTCTTATGTTCAAGAGATTTTTGTCTATGTTTTCTTCTAAGAAGTTTATGGTTTCATGACTTACATTCAGGTCTTTGATCCATTTCGAGTTTACTTTTGTGTATGGAGTTAGACAGTAATCCAGCTTCATTCTCTTGCATGTAGCTATCCAGTTTCCCAACACCAGTTATTGAAGAGGCTGCCTTTCTCCATTGTTTATTCATGGCTCCTTTATCATATATTAGTTGACCATATATGTGTGGTTTTATTTTTGGGCTTGGGGCTGAAAAGTATACTTAAATGTTAGGAGCCAGGCCTGTATAATTTTCACCTTGACATTTTTCATGCAAAAGTGAAATAGAGACTTAAGTATTTTAAGCATATATAATGTAACAAGACCTGTGCTAGGCCATGTGTTTACAAAGGGGAAAAAGGTAATTTTGGTCTTAAAGGATACTCAGAGCCAAGTGGGGAAGGCAAACTTATATGAACAAATATGTTAATTGCCACATATAGAAAGTGTAAGTTAATTTAAATTAGGAAGCATTGAACTATGTGTTAAGAAAATCAGAGGGGAAGAGAATGGATATTTTGTGTGACATGAATAAATTGCTACTATAAATGTCATGTGACCAGGAAGAAATGCCTCTTTCTCCTTTAGTCTGCCTGGTGGAATGAAAGTGTAGGACTATACTCTGGCCTCAAAATCATTGTCTAGAGGAAACGAATCCTTTTCTATTCTCTGAATAGAAGTGCCAGAAATGATACTGTCTTTTATGGTGCTCCTAACATTTCTATCACTTGATCAAAATTTTGTACCATTCTGAGGCTCAAGAGTAAACAAAAGCCTTTGCTGACTAACCCAGTCTTACCCTGGTCTCCCTTTTGTTTGTTTGTTTGTTTGTTTCTTTTATGATTAAGGTATCATTGATAAACAATCTTATGCTCAGGTTTCACATGAGCAAAATTGTGGTTACTGCATTCACCCATATTATCAAGCCCCCCCACACACATACCCCATTGCAGTCACTGTCCATCAGCGTAGTAAGATGCTGTCTTCTCTGGTCTATACTGCCTTTCCCATACCCCGCCCCACCCCATACTATATGCGCTAATTATAATGCTCCTTAATCCCCTTCTCCTTCTCTTCCCACCCCTCCCCTTTGGTAATTGCTAGTCCCTTCTTGGAGTCTGTGAGTCTGCTGCTGTTTTGTTTCTTCAGTTTTGCTTCATTGTTATACCCCACAAATGAGGGAAATAAATCATTTGATACTTGTCTTTCTCTGCCTGGCTTATTTCACTGAGCATAAAACCCTCTAGCTCCATCCATGTTGTGGCAAATGGTAGGATTTGTTTTCTTCTTATGGCTGAATAATATTCTATTGTGTATATGTACCACATCTTCTTTATCCATTCATCTACTGATGGGTAGTTAGGTTGCTTCCATTTCTTGGCTATTGTAAATAGTGCTGCGATAAACAAAGGGGTGCATATGTCTTTTTGAATCTGGGATCTTGTTTTCTTCAGATAAATTCCTAAGAGTGAAATTCCCGGGTCAGATGGTATTTCTATTTTTAGTTTTTTGTCCCTTTTGTTTTTACTTCTCTAACATCTATACCATAATATTTTTATACTTCTTCAAGGTACCATTTTAAGCAATTCCTTATTTTTTTTAAATTGAAGTATAACTGACATAATAACTTCAGGTGTACAGATGGCTAACAGACACACAAAAAGATGTTCAGCATCAGTAATCATCAGGGAAATGCAAATTAAAACCACAGTGAGATATCACCTCACAGCATTCATAATGGCTCATATCAAAAAGACAAGAAATAATGAGTGTTGGTGAGCATGTGGAGAAAAGCAAATTCTCAGTGCACTATTGGTGGGAATTCAAGATACCACTTTAGTAATGTATCATTTCAAAAATATTTTGTGTGCATCTCGCCTGATTAGTATGTAAAAAAGAAATTGGCCTTTATGGTCTCACATAGGGCTGAATATTCTGATAGCAAATTTTTGTTGAATGAGAACTTACCGGTAATTCTCTCAGATGCTCAATTAGCTTTTGCTGTGTCAGCAAACAACCCCCAAAGTTTAGTGGCTTACGGTAACAAACATCTATTTCTGCCCAGTATTCTACAAGTCAGCTGTGCACAGCTGGTGTAGCTGGTCTTGACAGTGCCTGGCTGCAGGCTGAGATCTGTACATTAGAAAACCAGGCTGAAGGATCCCTGTCCACCTGGGGCCTGATCTTCTCTTGGTAGAGAGCAGGAGCACGAGAAGGCCAGCAGCAGTGTCTCCTACAGGCACTTCGTGGAACTGGGCTCCATTCCATCGGCAACAGGAAGGCATATGGCAAGATACAAACCCAAAATGGAAAGAGTAGGAAAGTAATATTTGTTTATAGGGTGGAGATGGGAGAGTGGATGTTTACTCAACAATAATAAGACCAAATATAGATGATTCTGAATTAAAACAAAAAATTAAAGAAACAGGAATAGTTTTAAGTATGAATCTGAAGAATCTAGTGGAGAGGAGGGCTTCCAAATGGCTTGGGAGTGAAAAAGATGCAATTAAAACTAAATTATTTTAACAAAAGCAGTATCAGCACTACAAGGAAAGGGGCAGCAAAGTTTCCTAGTTAAAAATAGGCTCTGGAGTCTGTCCATTCTCTGTTCAGATTATAACATTTCCTACCTGCATTCTCTCCAGCAAGTCACTGTCTCTCAGTTTTCACACTTGTAAATGGATGTGTCATTTATCAATCTCCTGCTTTTCTGCTCTAAATTCATCTTTCATTGTCCTGTTTATGATACTGGAAATTTCTCTCTTCCAGGTTCTGTTAAGCTTTGTCAGTAGAGGGACAAAAGGGAGACTGGAGAAGGGAGAGATGTTTCCTCCTGATTCTAATGTGCTCCTGTAGTATGCAGGGGCTAACATAGCAGGCAGGATGCCCAGTGGTGCTCAACCCTTAGGGAGTTTCAGCGGCAAAACTCCCACATGTAGTTTCCCAGTGGGTTCCATGTTATGCTGTCTCCCGAAGGGCATCTTCCTGTGTTCCACTGGCATGATTTCTTCTAGTAGATGGCTTTACAGTGACCTCTGTTCTATGGCACTTCAGTAAATTTCTCAGACATCCATGGTCATGTCCTCACCATAAGGTCTGGGTCTCAGCCCATTTGGAAGTGGGTTCTTTACAGATTTATTCCTTTCTTGTTGCTCTGTCTCAGTCTTCAAAGTAGTGGCTGCTCCCTGTATCTTCTCTTTACCTCTTAGTACCTAGTCCCCTTTTGTAATTAATAATGCTTTATGCTAAACTTTCCCTGTCAAATTACCATATGCTTTCTTTTCTTCTAATTATACCTTGACTAAATCAATTTTATAAGCAGTACTTTTCTCATATGATTGTTCTTAAGATTTAATGGGGTGACACATGATATTGCAGAGTGTTTAGAACAGTGTCTGTCTGCCATTGAGTAAGTGCTTAGTGTTTATTGATGAGGATTATGATGATGATGATGAACATCATCTACCATACAACTAGTGCTGGTTAGGGGTAACATTTCTACTTTTTGTCCACAGAATGTTTCGTCTTAATTCACTCTCTGCTTTGGCAGAACTGGCTGTGAGCTCTCGATGGTACCATGGGGGGTCACAGCCCACCCAGACCAGGCGACAACTGATGATGGTGGCTTTCCTGGGAACATCTGCAATAACTGCAAGTACTGGTCTCTTGTGGAAAAGGTGAGTGTTATTTGAGCATCTTATTCCTGCAGGTACTTTTATTCTTCCAGTTATCTGTTATCTAAAAAGATTGAATTGATTTCTGGCTTACCTTTGTTATCAGAATTTCTTGTCCAAATCATTTGGCCTTGATAATAGTTGTCTATGAAATAAGGTGTTTCAAAGAGTTTGGCTATCATATCAAAGGAACAAATAGGAAATGTTCTGCTTCAAGATATGTCTCCTCCACTGAACATTTTAAATAATTTACCAATTTAATAGTTGTAATGACTTTCTACTAAATAACATATAATATAATTAATAGCTTTGATAATTTAGAAATTTACCAATTTACCATGTACAGTTCAGTGATTTTTAGTATATTCATAAAGTTGTATTGCCATCACTACTAATTCATGACAATGTTCATCACTGCACAAAGAAAATCCATGCCATTTAGCAATTGCCTCCCACTTTCCCCATCTTCTTACCCTCCCAGGCCAAGGCAACTATTAATCTACTTTCTATCTGTAGATTTGCCAGTTCTGGACATTTCATGTAAGTGGAATCATATAGTATGTGGTCTTTTGTGACAGGCTTCATTCCCTTAGTGTAATGTTTTCAAGGTTCATCTATGTTATACCAGGAATCAGTAATCATTCCTTTTTATGACCAAATAATATTCCATTGTGTGGAGTTATACTACATTTTGTTTATTCATTTATTTGGAGATGGCTATTTAAATTCTTTCAACTGTAGATTCTGGGTTTCTCAGAAACTTTTTTAGGGGAGGATACAGCTTCTCTGTGTCTATGTTAGAGGATTGCCAGTTTGTTAGAGGCTTGTAATGTCTTGCTCCTTCTGGTGTCCATCTGTAGCACTTCAGCTTCTTTTGTCTGCAGGGGAAAACCACCCTACTCTCTTTTCATCAGCCACCAGGCATCAAAAGTATGGCTGCTCTCCAACAACACCTCGAGTCAGGTAAGACAGATACCAGCCCTTTAGGCAGCCCTCTGGAAAGCTAGAATCACACACTCTTCTACTTCTTTCCTCCTCTCCTGAGGCAGAAGCCTTAAGTTGTGTGCCTTCTCCAAGTGGTGCCAGCTGTAGTAAGCCATGTCCTGCTCTTCTTTGTTGTCAGTGGCCGCCAAGCAGGCAAATTATGCCACTTCTGTCAGTGTTCCCAGGGAGATGAGCAGAAACCATTCTGTTGGACAGCCCTCTGAATAGCCAGAACCTTGAACACCTACTCCATTCTTTCTCCTCCATGTGAGAGACGTTGCTACCTGGGTGTTCTCTCTTAGTGCTGAGCTGTGTCTGCTTGGAGGAGGTGCTGACATGAATAAAGTGAAATTGCCTCTCTCACCCATTTCAGTTCTGTTCTTGGCATTGTACTTGCCTGGTGTACCTCAACTTCTTAACTGGATTTGTGAAATCTCATCAAAGTATTTTGACCAATATATCATTGTTAAATCAGTGTTTCTATGTTTCTATGGGGGGGAGAAAGGCTAGGACTTCCTGTTCTGTCATGCTGCCCAGTCTGCCTTGCTGACATCTAACAGTTATTTTATTGGGTATTTAACATTGTGAATGTTAAATTGTTGAGTGTCTGGATTTTATTGTTTTCCTTTAAAAGTATTGATTTTCACATTGGCAGGGATTAATTCATTGAAGAATCTGCTTTTTCATCCAAAACTTGTGTTTAAGCTTTTTTAAAGCAAGGTTTAGGGTATCCTCTTGCTCAGGGTCTAATTTAGCCCTACTAATAAGGCATGACTCTTCTGCAGTATTTACTAAATGCCTTGGATGTTCAGCGATTTGTCACTACTTAACATTTTCTGCTTGTGAGTTCTGGAAATTATTTGGTCTACAGCTCCTTGGTAATTGTTGTTTGCCTGACTTTGGATACTTTAATCCTAAAAGTGCACTGCTTAATGTTAACTCAAGGAGATCCCATTAGAGTCATGGAACTTTTTTGTGTGTAACTTCCTCCACTCTGGTCCTTTCCCACCAATTCCAGCCACCTCAGCGTCTCCAAACTTTAATCTCTGCCTTCTCAACTTAGCATGATCACTAAGTTTTGTTTGGGATCTTGGTTGTGATCTGGAAATTTGTCCAAACAAAACTTCAGGGTAATTATAGGCCTCATTTTTTTCATAGAGTTGCTTTCCACATCTGAGTTCAGTATCTGAAAGTGTTTGTTTCATATATCTTGCTCAATTTTTTGTATTTTTTCCCTCAGTGGGAGGGCAGGTCAAATGAAGTTATTCCATTGTGGTTGGAAATGGAAATCCTCTCTATACATCATTATATTTCATCAGTTTTTTAATGTTTAATCATTATATTATCATTTCATTACCAATGTGGTTTAAATATCAAGAATAAAAGAGGAAAAAAAACAAAGTGATTCTTATAAGTGTGCAACTCTCAGGTGGTTTTAAAATTATATGGCTGTAAGGGATGTGACCTGTCTGCTGTATATGAGCAGCATTGAAAATATCATGGGGATCTACCTGTAAGTTTTCAGAAGAAATTATGAATGCTGTTTAATTAGTTAAACTGAATGAAATAGTGTGATTTGGAGAGTTTCTGTTATTCCAGATGATATTGAATGTCTACAGATCTTCTTTTTTAAGACTTCAGTTTTTTGAGAAGTCATCTCATGAATCATCCTTTCCAGGAGGCTTGTTCTGACCCTGTTCCTTTCTCAGTTCATTCTTTTATTTTCTGTAGTGACTATAAACTTCTTAATAACAGAGACAGTCTTATTTATATTCATCTTAGCAATTGTTGTACCTCTTACACTACTTGAATGATAAATTGAAAGAATGCCATGTCTTTTCTTTGTGGATAAGTAGCTTCAGCTCCACTTTACCAGCCCATCATCTTTAGCTACACAAGATTCTTCAGAGAAAAATAAAGCAGTGAAACAATCCAGTATATCACTTGCTCAGGGTTGAAAGGAAATTTGAGCTAAGGTCAAAAGGTTGCTTTTGAACCAGGTTTAAGCTTAAATAAATGGGTAGTTTCTTGCTGCTTTTTAAAAACTTTAAAACTTTAAGCTTAATACTTTTAAAATATTATTGTTTTTAACAATTATATGTAATTTAAATTATTGCATATAACAAACAATTCTTAGTATTTGTTAGTATTTAGAAAATATTATTTGCAAGTAAATAAAATAAAAACTATTGATTTAAATCTTTTCTAGTCATGTGAAAGAAATACCTCAAGAATTTTCTGACAATGCAGTAACTCAACCCCATTGTGTTTTTTTCTAATACCTTTTGAGATCAACAAAGGTGAAGACTTCTAATGGTGTTCCTTAATCAGCCACACACACGACATGCTTTCTTTGTGTAAGGCACTGAGTGGGAATTTTGGATGCTTAAAAGAATACAGTGGTCAGTCTCTTCTTAATGACCTTATATACTGGGCTGAACCATATGATGTTGTTGATATTGTACAGTTTTTGATTTATAAAAGCAAAAATGTCAGGATTAAGCAAGATGGCAGCATGAGAAGTGAGGCAGAAACCTCCTCTCTAAACCACATATAATATGAAAATATAGCAAATACAACTAATCCTGAAAGAGCGACCCAAAAGAAGACTGCAACAGACTGCCTACATCTGGGGAAAAGAGAAGACCTCATGGAAAAGGGTAAAGTAGCAAAGCTACGATCCTGCGGGACCCAAGCCCTCCCCTGACCCCAGCTCATGGGCAGGATGAAGAGAAACAGAGCAAGTAGGGAAAAGAAGCCCAGGACTGCTAAACACCCACTCCTGGAGATCTGCTCTGGGAGCATGAACCCACATTACTTGGTGCTCTGGAGACTAGAGGGGTTGGAAAGCAAAGACAGGTGGAGTACTCAGAGAGACTGAGATTCCAGCCACTTGTGGAGAACAGGTATCCACAACCAGCTGCTCTGGGACAAAAGAAAGGCAGGCACTTTGAAAGACTTCCCAACACCAAGAGAGCTGCTGAAGGGGAAAGGATTACACAGAGCTTGCTGCTCAGGAGAAAGGACAGGTGGACAATATCATCCCAGCACACTCAGCCCAGCCAGTTGGGAATGCACATGCTCCATCCCCCTGGCTGGTATTGCAGTGCCAAGGCCCCCCACTATGATATACAGCATGCCACACCTTCCTCCCAGCCAGCACCAGTTCGCAAACCTGCTGCCCCTGACATAGTGCCAGGTCAGCCAGAGGGCGGCCCCGCCTGCAGCATCGACAGGGTGTAACACAAAGATTCCTCCCTGCATGCTCAGCCCACTGGCCCTGGCAGTGGAAGCAGGCACTGCAGCCAGGAAGCAGGGAATATTCCTACCAGCAGGCAATGGCACCACATGCCTGCAACCCCTACCATCACTCCAGGGGCTGGGCAGCTCCAGAGAGTAGAGCTTCTAGGCACTAGAGGGCATTGCTTACACAAAGTTATTATTCCATAGGAATCATAGAAATATGAAATGACAAAAGAACCTAGTACAAACAAAAATCCCTCTAACACCAGAAAGAGGGTTAAGTGAAACTGAAATCACCAATCTTCTTGGTAAAGATTTCAAAATAAAAATTGTAAACATGCTCAGAGAGTTACAGAAAAATATTCAAGACCTCAGGGCCTCTAACCAAGAACACTCTACCCTGCAAGATTATCATTTCAGGCCCTCAGGGGGGACTTCACAAAAGAGATAGATACTTTTAAAAATACAGTATCTGAAATGAAACAAAGTGGAGCAATTTAAAAGCAGATTAGATGAGGTAGAGGGGATGGCAAATGAAATAGAAATTAGAGAACAAGAATACAAAGATGCTGAGGCACAGAGAGGAAAAAGGATCTCTAAGAATGAAAGAATATTAAAGAGAACTGTGTGACTAATCCAAATGGAACAATATTCACATTATAGGGGTACCAAAAGAAGAAGAGAGAGAGAAAGGGATAGAAAGTATCTTTGAGGAAATATTTGTTGAAAACTTCCCTCCCCAATCTGGGGAAGGAAATAGTCTCTCAGGCCATGGA